GTTGATGCACAAAGGAATTCTAAAAAGTGTTGTAGGCACTCTTTATGAATTCCAGCCATCATGTATAGTCTATTTTGTGGTTTAACGTTTTTAAAAAGTTACCTTTTAGTTTCTTGCAAATATGGCAACAAAGTGACTTCTGCACAAATGCCCATTTTTATGTAGCACATTAAATGACCTTATGCAACACATTAAATGACCTTTATGGACTCAAACTACTTAACAAGGCTAGGTATTTTTATATGTTTGGCACTGTGTCCTTCTACCACTAGGTTTTCATGGCTGTCACTTTTACTTTTATAGACAAAAATCACATTTGCTGAAATTCTAGAATAATTTCTATAGTTAATGTGTTTTGGATAGTGTTTTTGGGTTTGTCATTAACAATATCAAATACTTTATGAGAACACCAAGTTATACACCTTGTTTGGCTTGAATGGGCAGATCACTGGTTTTTATAGGTTCAATACTGGAATACAGAGACTAAAGGGCAAGCACAACATTAAATAATGTGCTCATCCTTTGCAATGACTTCAACAAATCATTCAACTATAATAAAGCTAGGGTCTAAAAAGTTAAAACTAAAGTATATTTAAAATCAATTTTTTTTAAAAGGTTTTAGATAGAGCGCTAAGGACTTATGTCAAGTCACCAGTGTAGGCTGGTGGCCATTGTCACTGGGTCACAAAGTGAAGGGAGATCCAAAATTGTACAATTGTCACCAAAAACTGATATCTTACAATGGTGACACCTGTCCTGGAGACAACTATCTAAAGTTGGAATTTCTCTCACTCTCTGTAGTGTTTCTGGGACAGGAAGTAAAGGAAAATCTCCCAATTGAGGCACCAATGGCAAAAGAAAAAAAACTGACAGGGGTTCTACCCCTCTATCCATAAATAACAAAAAGGTTTTGGCTTCAGATATACTTTATATGCTATAAGTATATATGAGGGCACACCAGACACATACTGATACACACAAAAATGATGATTTTTGGGATATAAGGTGCACGGAATGGTAATAGCTTCACCTCTATGATTAAGCCCAAGTGGTGAAACATGTAAGAGAGGAAGGTATGGGAGAGTGTTTGAAGGTGTTTACTCATGGATTTATGTCAACTACAATAAAACTTGATTTTACACATACACCAGCTATGTGAGGCTGATACTTGAGGATACAACAGTGTCTGATTGCACCATCTGTTGCTTTTGAGCAACAGTAGGCTAAAAGAAGATGACCCAGGTGGACTCCACTGCTGAAAGAAAAGGTGCTTTGAATTTGTGTAGATCACAATACAATATTAAAGGAGAACTAACTATGAGGTGAGTGATTTTCACTCATCCTGATAGTTAGAGCCGACCTGTGACAATGAGATTGTCACACGTCGACTCTATAGATCGGGAAATGAGCATACACACACTGTCGCTCCCTCACTTCCCAATCATCTCCCTGCATAGAGCGGTGACTGTCAGTCACGGCTCCCCGCAGGGATTCTCCACCTCCCTCTTCGATCCTCCAGCACTAACTAAAGGAACAGACAGGGGGGACAGGCACAGCTGGCTCTGTCTCTAGATAGGCAGAGCTCGCTGTCAATCAGCCAGCTGGGTGGATCTCGACAATATTGTCAGGATCCGCCCAGCTGCGGCACTCTCAGTATATAGCGGGCAATAGCCCGCTTTATACTAAGCTTTGGGTCACGTTCACGGGAGGAGGTTAGTATATGTCCTCCTGTGATCCTGAAGAGAACTATGGAATAAAAAGGTTACCCCATAGTTCTCTTTTAAGGCTATTAAGGAATGGTAAAGTAAAATGTACTGCCCATTGTCAGAAATGTCTGTTTCAGTTGCAGGTCATAGGTCCTCCAAAAGGATTGTGACCCAAAACATACAGCTAAAAGCACTCAAAAATGGTTAAGAAAAAAACATCACACTATTCTGAAGTAGCCTTCTATGAACCGAGATCTGAATCCTATTGAATATCTAAGAGCTGAAGCATGCAGTCTGGAGAAGGCACCATTCAAATCTATGATAGCCGGGGCAGTTTGCTTAAGAAAAGTGGGGCCAAACTACCAGTTGGTGGGTGCAGAAGTCTCATTGAGACCTACAAACATCACTTGTTTGCCGTTATTGCGCCTACAGGTTGTGCAACAATTCCCTCAACTTTGCCTATACAACTTACATTTGTTTGATTCTTTAAAATATTCTGCTGAATCAAAAATCAAAAGAAAGTATGTGTTTTTTAATTACATGTTGAATAAATAAAGATGAGTGGCAATTATTTTTGTCAGTTTCGAGATATTTTAGAAAAAATTTATACATGTCTGCACAAATGTATCCATGTCCGTATGTAGCATGTTGCATATGCCAGCACTTTCAAAATTCATGTGTTGTCTAGAATAGTAGGTATAATGGTGAACTCTGGATTGTTTGCACTAACATATCTATATGTAGACAGTCGTTGACTTCAATTATTTATTTTGAGATGAAAACAGAAAAACACTAAGCAATTTATATAGATAAAACAATGCAACTTCAACTACTAAAAAACAAACACTAACAAAATAACAACCAATAATAAAAACAAGCAACACCTTTTGCACTTAAACTATTTGTTTTGTTTTTTTTTTGTTTTTTACTGCAGGGACTTAAGAATAAACAAGAATGCCTCTGACAGATCCAGGCTAAACTTGTCTACATTTATTTTAAACAGTTTACTAACAACTTGATCAAAGCTGACAATGTTCCTGTAAACCTGGACTTTCACAAATCATTACATCAGTTTGCTTAGCACAAATATGCAATTTGCTGGGGGGTGACACCTTATTTTGATTATATAACAACAATGCCCTTTAGAGGAAGAGCTGCCTGTTTCATCAACAAAATATTACATGCAGGCATGCAGGGATCAAGGGCAATGCTTCCCACATCCTATATGATTTGTGGCGAAACAGCTCAATCAAACTGAAAATAACAGTTGATGAATGGTAGGCGATGTTACCCTGACAAACAAAACACATCCCAAGCATTTATATCATGCACAATTTTTTACTGAACAGTATGGATAATCTGGCCGTGTACATGTCACAGACAAAAAATAAAGCACAAAAGCCATCTGTCCAATGGCTTTTAGGGTTTAACTGATAAGCCATTCTTTAATATATTTATGAATATAAGTAATTATTGTGTCCAAGCTAGAGGGTTTAACTGATAAGCCATTCCTTAATATATTCAGGAATATAAGTAATTATTATTATACAGAACTTATATAGTGTCAACAGTTTGCACAGCGCTTTAAAAAATCAGGGGGGACAGTAAAGTCACAATACAATTCCATACAAGTGGATTAAGAACGACCTGCATGTGAGAGTTTACAATCTAAAAGGAGGGGCAGGTGATACAGAAGGTAATAACTGTGAGGAATGAACTGATTGAAGGAGTAGACACTAGACATGTAACCCTGACAAAAACCCATCTGAATTTTTGTTTCGGAAAGATCCACAACAGGAAGTCACATGACCGTCTCTGTAATGCAACCCCCAACAGCCAAAAAAAATCATCTGACTGGCTGGAGAACAGTCATATTCAGCTGGGTCCAAATTTTCGTCAAAGGAGCATTCAGATTAGTTTGCATTTGGACGTGTTCAAATTCAAAAAATTGGATGCTTCAGAGTGTCTGAATTTAATAAAATTCGTAGGAGTATCTATTTGGAGCATCTATTTTAGTAGGAGGCTGCATAGGCTTTCCTGAAGAGATTGTTTTTTAGGGTTTGCCTAAAAACAGACAGGATAGGAGATAGCCGGATAGATTGAAGTTGGGAGCTCCAGAGGATGGGAGAGGCTGTGGAGAAGTCCTGGAGGTGAGCACAGGAGGTGGCGACGAGGAAGCCAGGGAGCAGGTGGTCTTGAGAGAAGTGGAAGTGATGGTTTGCATGCTATTTTGAGATGAGGTTGGTGATGTAGCTGGGGGAAGAGTTGTGGAGGGCTTTGAAAGTAGTGGTTTATTACTTTGAATTTTATACGTTGGGTTATTGGAAGCCAGTGTAGGGATTAGCAGAGAGGGGCATTAGCAGAGATAAGCAATTCCTATGCTTACTATTTAGGCAAGTGGTACATTGGTATTAGGTCAGGACTTGAGCAGTCTGTTGATAGAATCCCACAGTATATTTTAAGTCGGTTAGGGAGCACCTTCTCTTGAGGTTATAAAACAATGGTAAACTGGCACTTGGGTCTTAACACAAAAATGTATCAGTGATTTAGGATATACATTTACAGTATTATTTCTTCACTCACCTCTATTCCATTTTAGTTACAGGACTAGAGGGTATGTAATGAAGATACGAATAAAGTTGGTTCTCATTTTTTTTTTTTTACAGAGTGCATTCCTTTTCCCACAGGCACCAAGGATATTTAGGGATGATTGTTAATTTAAAAAAAAAATTGATTGGATATAGAGGAAAGACACAAGACCTGTACTTTTGAGCTAATACTAAATACATGAAATTTGGTAAACATGGTATACTACATTGTTTTAATCTTCATTGTTCCACATAACAAAACAATTATCATCCATTCTGACTGTTAAGAAATGTTCCCACCTCCTGCATTAAAATACTGTTGGTCTTTATATCTAGGACGATGGTCACTGATGATCCTGATGTGCATATGAATTCTTGTCCTTCAAATATTATTTTCTAGCCCTCATATCTTTTATAATTCTTCCATTCACTTTTCCCATCCTCCATATTTTCCCGTTAGAAGAAGGAATTATTTTTGTATATCTTAATCATATTGTAATACCTTCTTTTGTTGACACTATACTATTGGGTGCTATGCCTTGCTGCATTGTTGCAAATGAAAAATATAAAGTGAAACAAAGAGAACCACAACGTTTAGTCTTTTATCCCTTCTTACTAGCGGTATAAAATACATGATTAATTGTTTTTGCAAAGTACACGACAAAATTATGGATTTACTTATGTAAAAAAGTTTTCTGCTACATACCCGAGGAAATGTGGTAAATCGGTCCAGCTCCTCCACAAAGCAGAACATCTGCAGGCTGATTGCAGACATGACAATTAAAAGGCTAGCAGTAAAAACCACCAGGCTTCCAAGCTTTTTACCAGGACCAAATATTTTGTACACAAAGTCTTCCAGTGCAGGTGATATCTTGATCAATCGAACTACTCTCAAAACCTGCAAGAAGATACAATCATGCTATGTGTTATGCTTGCTAATACTTTGAAAGCAAATATTTTTTGCACTTCTTTTATCAATGGGTCAAAGGGTTTTTATATACTTCAGCATATTTAATGTATTTCTACTTTTGCAGCCAAATTGGGGCCGCACCTACTTTATATTTGTTGCATGTTCTCATTCACATTGCATAATTTGAGAATATATGTAAAACTTGCTGCTTTTATTTTAAGTGCTTTTTATGTCAAAATCATACCTATGTAATGTTAAGAAAAGCTGTATTTACCTGTGTGTCTATTAACCCTGTGTGTACTGTGCTTGCAGATTGCGTTATCAGTTGTAAACTAGATTTGAACACTGCCTGTCATAACAAAGGGTTACATAAATAGAAGCTTGACTCCTGTATTGTATGTTAATGAGAGGAAACTCAGTCTGTTCCCACTTTGTCTAGAAACAGACTTACCTGGACATTGTTCAGAGTAGCCTGCAGTCTGCCTAAATGCCTGCTACAAAGAAACATCTAAACATCCGGAAACTTGTTTTACTTTCTTTTTAAATATGCTGTGTGAAAGGGAACTATATAGTGGATTTTCTCAAATGTGAATGCAAATGTGGAAACAGCTTTGAAGCTATTTGTCTAGGCACATACAACTGCTTATCTGTGGTGATGGTACAGTATCACTGACTATGGGACCAGATGAGCCTTCAGTGGAGCTTTTACCATTATACTGGTTCAAATGGAAATTCGATTTAATAACATAGTGAAAAAGGGAGTAATTTTGTCTTTAAAAGAAAGGCAATGAGAATTCAATTATGCTGCTTGAATATTTTCTGTAATGAAAATCTACAGGAACTATCCCAAGATTTGAATATTTGTTTTAGTACATTCTGTATTTGCCATGTTTTCATATACAATAGGGTTCAAAAATTTGACACAATACATTTGATCAAATTGTAAATGTAACAAAGGTGCTTTGATATGGTGGCATCAATGGCACAGGTATTGAAAACTACAACACTTGATAACCTTTACAAGGCTTTCTGTTTCTTGTTTGTAATATAGAACTACTGACGTTGGTAAAATGTGTACAAGTCCTCATTTTTACAAACAGCTGTTCCTGAAATGATTCATAAGTTTATTAAGCAAGATGTAGAAATATAGGTGAAGGAAGAAAAGGGAAGAATGGGGAGTGCACTTGAACACATTTTCTCTGCAACAGAATTAATGTTTTAGCATGGCCTAATCCTATCTTAAATCCACTATATACTGAAGTATAAAGGTTCCAAAAAAATATGTCTGTAGTGTAATAACAAGTAAATTACATTTCATGAAGAAACATAATAATCCATCTATTAAATAGATCTTATGAATCAACTACAAGACCTACCTGGAAGTAAGTGAATTGTGAGTGGTAAAGCACAGGATAAATGTGAAGAGTTGTCCCAACCACAAGGAGCAGTTCAAATTTGTGAAGAGAGGAACTAATGTAGCCTGTGAAGCCTAAACACCATATCTTTAATAGAGCTTCCAAGTCAAATAGTACGGTAAACGCCACCTGTGAAGGTACAGAAATAAACAGGTTATGGCTTAGCATTGCAACAATTATTACACAAGCTTTAATTCTAATTAGGGCTTTGTAACAGTCTCAGTTATTTCTCATACACTGGTGGTGCATTGCTTTCTTGTGAAATCACTCAAACAATCATGCAAAAAAGTTATTATTTGAACTGGGGCTTGCAAGTTAGTATTCCTTTTGAAAAAAAAGTTTATTTTAAAAGAAATGCAAGGCATGCTATTTACCCCAATATATTAGAAAACAAATCACTGGATAAAAACTAACTGTACATTTGTATAGGGCAGGGTAACTGAATTAACCAGCATATTTTAGTGTAACTTACCCAATCTACTCCCAATAAAAAGAGCAAGTCCCATTTAATAATAAAACATAAGTCTCAAATGATAAGCTGGTGTATTAGTCTTTAAGGAAGCTACAAAAATAATGCTGGACTTTTCCCCAGTCAGCTGGTGAACCATATTATGTAGTGTTTTCTTTAAGTCGTTTTCATTCTGGCTCATAATCCTCTCACTTGCTTGCCAATTAAAGCAACTCTGCTTAGCCAGGCATCCTATGGTTTGGTAAGAGGATGATATAATTGATACATCTACACTGAGGACTTGGGTTCCCATGCCACCGGCCTTGAAGGAGAGGGACCATTATTGGTTGGCCACCCTTTGGATCCCTCATCCAGCTATTCCAGTGGGTAAAAATAATGCACCACTTGGTAAAGGTGCAGTGGAGGAACCTCTTGGCCACCTTTCCAGAAAGAGGCAGGATTCCCTTCTATTGCCAACATGTCTCATATCCTCTTGGTTGGTGAAATGAGAAGCAGCAAAGGCTGACAAGGTTTTTAAGCCATTCTTTGGAATGCATTAGCCAGGCATGGCTGCTGAAACAGTCACATACAGCCCCTAACTCAAATGATCTTGGATCTCCAGGGTGGTTGTAGATAACCTTAAAACAGAGGACCCTATGAACTTTTGGATGTCCAGGATGGACCACTGGCTAAGGCTTGCACAGCATGCAACCAAGCTGCTGTCAGAAAGGGCATTCTGGGCAGCAGGCAGTTTTGTGACAGAGGAACTAATCCACCTGTCTCCTGACAGAGTTGACCAGTTTACAGTTATAAAAATGTAACAGTCCCAGATTAGCAATTGGTACCAAACTCCTGCAGCTAATGCTAATAAATAGTTATTTTTCTTGGAAGCTGGCCCAAAAATATTATTATACCTTATAGCGTTACCATCTTCTGCCACCACTGGTGGCCTTGCACTATTTCCATCTCCTGCCACTACTGTTGGCATGCCAGCATTACCATATTGGGTGACTCTACTGCCCTATTCCAGTACTGCAAAGGTGCCACACAATTTTTCTGCAGCTGGTCCTCAGCTTCAATTTGAGTAATATTTTTCTGTAGGGCCAATCCTGTAATGTGACTCTAAGTTTCAGGTGTATTCTGGTGATCAGACATTGTGAAGGTGTCACACATAAGGGTTCTGCAGCTTGTCCTCAGCTGCAACATTTATAGTGTTTGCTGCGAGGTAAATCATGCTTTGTCTCCTAGTTGTCAGCTTATTCCAGTCCTCCGTTAATGAAGAATATTTGTAACTATAATCTCTCTGAAACAGTGTACTCAAACTGTGATTTCTTCATTAAACCTGCCTGGTCTCTCCTAATTAAACTGTGGCCTAGCAAAGTGCCGACTTTTTTGCTTAAATAATATGCTGTAATATCGATTTTGGTTTAAAATCTGCCCAGTGCCTCCTGTTCAAAAGGTGGCCAAGTAAAATGTTTCAGTGTGTATGGAATCAGTAAAATATTTAGCTGTCTTTTTTCTATGATAAAAATATATTCTAAAATTGATTTTTATTATTAAAAGCTGACTATTGCCCCCCCCCCCTCCCACCCGTTCAAAATGCACTTAAATATTGTCTTTGGAGTTACTACAGTGTGTCATTTTTAAATTTGGTGTACAAGATATTGTTGAAATACTGTCTATTCAGTGTGTCCAGTATTCCTTTTATTCATTTTATTAGTGCACAAATACACACTTGTTTTTTGTCATGTTTTTTGTCACTGTGTGAAAAATATAAAACATTAAATTGTTTTTGGCCTCCAAAGCTAAATGGAGGATGTGATCTAGCCAATGAGGCCCCGACAAGAGATTGTAGAAATAATGCATATGAAGTGTGCTCAATAATCCTTCTTTTGTTTGTGTAAAATACACTTTATTGTGCATATTTCACTTGAACAGCTGCATGCATTGTGTCAGTTTTAAAATGTGGCCTACTTCAACTGCTGTCTATGTAGTCTGTATAAAATTTCTTCCATTGTTCTCTGAGAGTTTGTTATAAAAAGCCTATTTCACCTGCTTCAATATTTACAATAGAGCTTGTACAATATGTTTGGCCTTTGTCTTAGAAATAATACAATCTAAATTGTGTTTCATGATAAAAGCTGCCTAGTCCCTCCCTCTTCAAATTTGGCCCAGTAAAACCACATACATGGTGCAATATTTAAAACATGCTTCGTCTTTCCCTCTTACATTGCGGCCTAGTAAAACTGCTTAAATAATAGGCAGCAAGTCTGTACAATATTTTGGCTGTTGTCTATGATATACAGTAATACACTGCTTGCATACTCTCTAGCCACTGTGCTATATGTCTTGCTATTGTCTCTGTAATATAGCACTGTCATTTTTATTTCAACATAACAACTGCCTTGTCTGTGGAATAGGGGGGTGTGATTTAGAGTGTTTTTGTCCTGTATTTACTTCAAAGGGTTTGGCTTAAATTAAAAAAAAAAAAAAAATTTGCGTTGAGTTTCCAACGAATGGTCCACAAACCGAACACAAGCACATTTGCTCATCGCTTATCTTATCTATGTGTTTCCAGTTCCTTCCTGCAAAGCGCAGTACAAGGATGGACTCATGGGAGAAGAAAGCAAGGAAACACCTCCACAGTGTTTCCTTTTTTTTATTACTGCTTGTGATCATGGTAATTGCTTCAGGGGATAGGATGTGGAAACACTGATGATGATGTTTTAGCATAAAAAAACTTTATAGACTATAACAGGTGGTAGACAACAGCAATGGTTTAATAGTTTGGGTTATTCTACAGTTATACTTTAAGCAAGAACTAGCTCTCTTACTTTACAAACATCACTAAACTACTGTACAGGTATTCCTCACTTAACGACCGAGTTCCGTTCCTACGACCAGGTCGTTAAACGGATTGGTCGTTAAGCGAGAAACTCTATACAGTACTGTACTGCATTAGTACAGTACTGTATAGCGTTGCCGATGTACAGTACCGAACAGTGTACTGTACATCTGGCAATGAAAATACTTACCGGGACCCGCAGTGAAGATCGGAGGACACCACTTCCGCCGGCGACACGTCGCACTGACGTTGACGCGCAAGGTCGGAGGTCGATCGGCGGTCCGTCGTAAGTGCGAGTGGTCGCAAAACAGGTAAGTTGGTAACCGAGGAACATCTGTATAGAACATTACATGGAACTGTGGACGTAAAGCTTTCTGGTGATGATTTCTCTTGCACTGCCTTGCTTTTAAGCACCACAGTAACTTATAGTGTGTCAAGAGGTGTCAGAACACTTGACACTCTTAAGCAATTTGTATTTGCCTACTGTGCTCTTGTCTCTTTTCTAAGTAGTTTTCCTCTTGTACAAAAGCTACTTCAATGAGAGATATAGATTTTTTAGCAGATCATCTATGGTTGCCTCTTGCTTCAGATAATACAGTGGACTGTAAAAAAAATAGATTTAAAATAGAACTAAATCCAGAATGTTTTTTTTATTGTTTTGGCTAGAGTGGGGAGGGATTTTTTTTTTTGAGTTGTCACCATAACAGGAATAGATGGGGAATCTTCTAATGGGGACACTAGTTCTGGTAACCCTGGTGACCACTGACGTATTGACACAGATGTATTGAGTATATTGGAATAGGTAGAAAATATGTACATAAGAACATTTTTATGACTCACATATACAATATATGGCATTAATTTGCGTTGAGTTTCCAACGAATGGTCCACAAACCGAACACAAGCACATTTGCTCATCGCTTATCTTATCTATGTGTTTCCAGTTCCTTCCTGCAAAGCGCAGTACAAGGATGGACTCATGGGAGAAGAAAGCAAGGAAACACCTCCACAGTGTTTCCTTTTTTTTATTACTGCTTGTGATCATGGTAATTGCTTCAGGGGATAGGATGTGGAAACACTGATGATGATGTTTTAGCATAAAAAAACTTTATAGACTATAACAGGTGGTAGACAACAGCAATGGTTTAATAGTTTGGGTTATTCTACAGTTATACTTTAAGCAAGAACTAGCTCTCTTACTTTACAAACATCACTAAACTACTGTACAGGTATTCCTCACTTAACGACCGAGTTCCGTTCCTACGACCAGGTCGTTAAACGGATTGGTCGTTAAGCGAGAAACTCTATACAGTACTGTACTGCATTAGTACAGTACTGTATAGCGTTGCCGATGTACAGTACCGAACAGTGTACTGTACATCTGGCAATGAAAATACTTACCGGGACCCGCAGTGAAGATCGGAGGACACCACTTCCGCCGGCGACACGTCGCACTGACGTTGACGCGCAAGGTCGGAGGTCGATCGGCGGTCCGTCGTAAGTGCGAGTGGTCGCAAAACAGGTAAGTTGGTAACCGAGGAACATCTGTATAGAACATTACATGGAACTGTGGACGTAAAGCTTTCTGGTGATGATTTCTCTTGCACTGCCTTGCTTTTAAGCACCACAGTAACTTATAGTGTGTCAAGAGGTGTCAGAACACTTGACACTCTTAAGCAATTTGTATTTGCCTACTGTGCTCTTGTCTCTTTTCTAAGTAGTTTTCCTCTTGTACAAAAGCTACTTCAATGAGAGATATAGATTTTTTAGCAGATCATCTATGGTTGCCTCTTGCTTCAGATAATACAGTGGACTGTAAAAAAAATAGATTTAAAATAGAACTAAATCCAGAATGTTTTTTTTATTGTTTTGGCTAGAGTGGGGAGGGATTTTTTTTTTTGAGTTGTCACCATAACAGGAATAGATGGGGAATCTTCTAATGGGGACACTAGTTCTGGTAACCCTGGTGACCACTGACGTATTGACACAGATGTATTGAGTATATTGGAATAGGTAGAAAATATGTACATAAGAACATTTTTATGACTCACATATACAATATATGGCATTCACACCTATTGCACATACTATTTTGCTGTGTTCATATTCACACCCCAAAACCTTATTTAAGCTAAGTTGAGAAAAAAAAAAACAGGATTTTTGCTGGCACTTGATTGGCTGATCGAAATCAGCACAGCATCATGGTATTCAATAGGGATGCACAGATACTTTTCAAGTACCAGTGCAGATATTTGGCATTTTCATGAGAACTACCAGGGTTGCAGCGGTTGCAGCTGGGACCTGGCTCTGGCGCTCCACCACTGTCTGGAAATCATTAGTCTGTATTGTTTTAGAAAAACTGTCACATGACAATAAACAAAAATGTATCAGTACTCATACTTGTAAGTACTTGGCAAGTACCAGTACTCGTACTCGCAAAACTGGTATCTGTGCATCCCCTTATTTATATTTATAAAAACAAAATCGTACATTAAAACAGAGATGTACAAATCCCAGGAGCTCCGTGTGCTCCTTACAAATGACAGCTGCCTCCTAATTTCTTAATTTTTCTCTAGTCTAGTCTTGGAGCTCAAAAGTATCGGTACATGTACTTGTACCAAGTACTGTACTTGGTATCTGTGCAACCCTAGTATTCAACATTCCTACTTTGCACAGTAAACATGCTCTACTATATTAGTAAATCCATCCCAGTGGCTATATAATCTAGAAGCAGCATGTGCATATTTAGTGCTCTGACACATGATATGCATACACTTGTTCCAGGTCAGTGACACACCAAGTAAGGAAGAAATTATAAGGATTTTGGGAATTTGGAAGTGACAAATAAATCCAGGCATATCTTCCATCTTACCACAATATACAGAGGCAGGTAGGTGTTTGGAGAAGAAGCGAAGTAGTAAGGTTATCAGCCCTACCTCATTCTATCTCTATGAATACTGTGCCATTAACCTTTATATATCACATAAACCAAGATAAGATAAGATCTTTTTTTTTTTCATTTAACTTCCATTTGCAAATACCGCTGAGATATAATCTGCCTATATTTTGCTTTCATTTTCTCCCTTACCCCTTCATCAACATGCTAATGAAGATTTGAAATAAAAACCTTTCTGTTTTCATTACATACATTACCTAGTGACATAATTAATGGGTTTCTGTGCTTCTCTACGCAATGCTGGCAGATCATGGCTGGTGGGAGGGGTCAACAGGGTGCTATACATAGCTTCTTTAAAACATTACAGCACCCTGCCTAGGTACTCCTCTTGGGAGCTCCTAGCCCTGAAGCAAGCAGTGGACTGGATGGGTGACTATCAGTCTGTAGGAGTGGGCATTCCTAGGCAGGTTGCCTTTGCCTAGGTAAATCCCACATGTGATGCTAAGCCTCCATGAATGAAAGAACAGACATCCAATGAATGAAAGAAAGACAACCAGGCTGGAGAGGAAAGAGCTAGATGTCCTCAAGCAAGGAAACAAGGCAGGCTCTATCTGACTTGCTTCAGCTTTTAATACACACTGTGTGATGCTCTTATTGTGCAGAGAAATCAGAGTAAGCAATTTCAGTATAGAAGGGGAGCCTGTACAGATGTGCAGAACTGAAGGTAAGGCTCGAGTACAGCTTTAACCATGCACAATTACATTATGCATCCATGAAAACAGACCCTGGTATCTTAAGCAGATTTGAGCAGAAAATCACTGAAGTCTAAATAAGCAAACGGATGCATGAAACGCTTATGTGGTGACAAATCTTCGAATGAAATCAGGAAAAAAAAATGTGTTTTTCCTCTAATTATGTTTAATATAACCATGTTCTTACATGATGTGCCATTTAAGGTTTGAAAAATGTTATATAAGAGTTCCTGTCGGTTGCACTCTTGATGATAATAAGCAGCTTAGCAACCATCATGGATTGCCTACAGAGGTTCCACTCAAGCATCAGCTCATTACCACTGACATTTTCTTTGAGGAAACTAGCTTCCGGATTATTGGCTGACAGCCTTTATTCACTGTCAGACAAAAGGATTTGAACACGTTGGGAATATGTTCTTTGAGATCTTCAGGGAATAATTTATAGTATGTTGAACGGTGACTACCTAACTGCTTGAAATGGCAATTTGTATACTCACCTCAGCAAGATAGAACTCATCGTATTGTCTTTTAAAGTTTTCTCCTTTATAGTAGTTGCTGGCAGCTACAATTACGTCCACTGCAACTATGCTTAGTATGAACATGTGGAAAATGGATGATCTCATCATTTTCTGATCATGGACAAGAAAGAGAACACAAAGACAAAGATTAGTCAGAGTTGCAGTTCAAAATCAACATTTTATGTTTTCACATTTAAGCTATTCAAAGAGGCAATTCCTCCATTTCACTGGTCTTTTAAACATGAATAGATATTTCTTTCTAAATATGTAACTATCAGCAGTAATTTTACAAATGCTACATGACATTGACATAAACTGCAATCAGTGTGGCTTTTAACTGTACATCAAGCATTTTTTGTTTAAGAGGGAAAGACAGGTTTAATGGAAAAGGGAATTAAATAAATCCTTTATATGAGGAAGTGAATTTGTCATTTCGTCAGAGTAAAAGCATCCTTAATTCCACAAAGGCAAATAATTATCTATCACACTTGACATTAAAGAGCAATGTACTAATTATAACACAAGAAGTTCAATACTTGCTTCCACAAAATCTTCAGCCACATTCTTACAGAGGTGTCCACTGTGTTAAATTAGTGGACGTGTAGGCATTAATAGGTATCTACATTCTTAATTAAATATTATTACTTTCCATTTGTGACCCACACGACAGGAGCATTTTGGTAAAGAGTTTGATATAGAACTATCAAACTTAGTGGATTGTGAAAAAATATTAAAATAAGCATGCAATGTTTATACCTCATCAAACATGTTATCTACACACCATGTTTACTTCCGCTACATAAAACTTTGGGTGTAGATTTTCTTTGATTACATAATTGTAAAGACATTTTAAAGGGACTTGTGAATTATCAAGTTGCTTTGCAGCTTGTCTGCTCAGATTTCATTAGCTACCCTGGGAAATCTATTACTTTCTGAAGTTATAAAGAACACATGTGACATAATGCATGCTGAAAACCTTTGTAGCCTCAATGTAGCAGAACATTTTGCCAAGCGCTGGTAAGCTCGGAATTGCTTGGCAGTGTTGTTAAAAAGGTTGAAGTAGAAAACCTTTTTTGTGGGCTCATGTTTACAACCATTCAAGAGGCTAGCTGACCTCTGCTTACATTGGGCTCTACTCAGCACAACCAGAGTGCCCCTCAAACCACTGCCTATTGTGTTCATTGGTCCCAATGAGCAGTACGTAGATATATACCTGGCTGTTCTGCTGAGGGAAGTGCAGAGCCCTGCAATAAGAGGATCTCCTGTTGAGATTATTTGTTGCTCAGTAAAACAGTCAGGCACCACGTGGTGATGCGGGTCAGGCTTCTATTAACAGAAATGTCTGTTAATAGAAGCCTTAAGTATTTTTTCTTGAACTGTCCAATTCTGATCCCCTGTTCTTACAGAATCTGCATTTTATGTATTATCATAAAAATTATCATAAAAACAATGTCTGATACATCAAGCATACATGTTGCTATCTCCATTGCTGGAGGGCCACAAACATGGAAGGCCTTCTTCATGATATCAGCCTATTTTAGATCCAGTATCAGATGCTTCTGAAGGTTAACCTAAAAAATAGACCCACTCTCACAATACCAGCAGTACCCTAGAATGTGGTGTAGAAACTTTTACCTAACTACTATCTGGTGCTGCTATTTTCTTTAAAATCAAAGGTCTCTTCTACCACTTTGACCATGGGCAAAGTTGGCAACTTATCTACCACCCCCCATATTTCCCATACTACTTCATAGGGCAACATTGTTGGTAAAGTCAACCTCTCAGTCATTATTATATTAGCTAGAGATGCACTGATACTTTTCGAGTACCAATGCTGATACTTGGCATTTTCAACTAGCAGGGTTGCATCGGTTGCAGCTGGGAACTGGCTCTGGTGCTCCACCACTGTTCTGAAATCATTAGTCGATATTGTTTTAGAAAAACTGTCACATGACAATAAACAAAAATGTATCAGTACTCGTACTTGTAAGTACGTGGGCAAGTACCATTATTTGTATTTGCAAAACTGGTATCTGTGCATCCCTTTATTTATAAAACCAAAATCATACATTAAAACAGAGATGTTCAAATCCCAGGAGCTCCGTGTGCTCCTTACAAATGACAGCTGACTCCTAACTTTTTAATTTTTCTCTAGTCTAGTCCTGGAGCTGGAAAAGTATCGGTACATATACTTGTACTTGTACCGAGTACTGTACTTGGTATCGGTGCATCCCTAATATTAGCCTATATATCTTTGTGAAGGTTGGTATTTCTTGGGAAAGTTGGAAGCATATCAAAAATTAAAAATGTAAGGAGTAAAAACAAATTAATTCAATTCATTTGAATGCCAATCACTGCAATATATGACCTGTCCTTCCAGCTTTTTATCTTGTTGTACAAAATGAAATGCTAAAGTGATGTCAAGATTCTCTTTTTTTAAATGAAAACATAAAAATAATTTTAAGCACTAAATAACAAAGTTAATAGTTAATTTTTTATCATACAGCCAATGTCATTAGGAACTATCTTCAGCGTAAAGAAGAACAAGGAGTCCTGGAAGTGATGAAGATGCTTGGATCAACCTACCTGCCGAGTTCCTTTAAAAACTGTGTGCAAGTGTACCTAGAAGAATTGATACTGTTTTGAAGGCAAAGGGTGGTGACACCAAATATTGATTTGATTTGGATTTCTCTTCTGTTAATTTACTATCCATTTTGTTATTTGATCAAAAATAAACTATTAGCACTTTGTTTTTGAAAGCATTCCTACTTTACAGAATGTTTTCACACCTGCCTATAACATCTGCGCAGTACTATATACAGAATGATGGAACTGTATTGTGTAACAGATCATTACAGTTGTGCTGATTTAATGAAACACATATTGAGCTCTAATGTACTGCATAGAACTTGAAGATTAACAAACCAATTAACAAGCATGATGTAGAAGGACAATTAAACCATTGTGACATAATATATTCACACATACAGACACAATATTCATATAGATATTTTTGTAATTTAGAAAAAAAAAATAGAACAACATTTTGTAGACTTTCAAGTTAAAAGTAGAACTATGGCCTCCAATTAAAAAAAATAGCACTTAATAATATATTCAACTGCACTTTGTTTTCTTTACTTTATTACTTCTTTCTTGCTCTTCAGTCCTCTTAGTCCCCCTGGAAAGTCCCACAAAAAAACTGTTAGGGCATGCCAGTGAAGTCCAGCTAACGCAGCTTCCTGAGATGGTGCACTGCTCCTGAATTCAGAATGATTTGCCAATCTCACACAGGCTGTTCCTGCTTGCACTACAGGGGGATAAAAAAGGTCCAGGGGCATGGCTATCAGCATTGTCACCTGCCATTTCATAAGTATGTAGCTTGTTAATTAGCACTTTGCTACAACTAGTCCTGCCACTGCTTTCTGCCACTGCTATATGGCTCAGTCAGAAAATGTAAAGGACATTTTTGTTTAATTTATGAGGCTTGTGCAATAACTGAATGTTTAGATTGTCATACAGGAGCCTTTAGTTGTACTTTAAATGTTATTTTGATATTTAAATTAGGGATGCACCGATACCACTTTTTTAAGACCGAGTACGAGTACCGATATTTTTGATCAAGTACTCGCAGATACCAATTACCGATACTTTTTCTTAAAGGGACAGGTCACATTTTTTCTAAAGCAATACAAACTAATGCTTTAAGGTCACTTTCTTAATATTATGATTCATGAGATGACGAGGGAGCATGACGCCGGCGTTATTACACGGCGCCTGGCTTCCGGATTTGCTAGCTTCCTGACCAATCTCATCACAAGTGGCGAGAGAGCATGGAGCCATTTCCTGGCCAATCAGGAAACCGGGCAGCGTGTAATGATGCGCTGCCCGGCTTCCTGATACAGGAAGTACTCGTGCTAGGTATCGGAGCATTTGGGCGAGTACGAGTACTCACCCAAATACTCGGCATCGGCACCGATACCAGTATCGGTATCGGTGCATCCCTAATTTAAATAAATTAGCAACTTTTAAAGAATATCTCTGCTTACTTAGACAAATTTACTGCTCAATTCTATTTGCAAAACAGTTAAAAAAATGTAATAAAAAAGAATTAAAAAAACTATGCATAAAATCACAAGTACACTACTGTTGATAACTCCAATCTAACTGTTTTCTGGTATGTGAATAAAACCCAAACGTAGTTGTTGTTTGCTAGGAGTGTTTTATCAAGCAAGAAAGAGGTAATGAGGTAATATAAAAGATCAACTCTTGAAAGCATTGCGAGCTGAAGATTTGTTATACTTTTTTTTCTGGAAAAGAAATTTAAACTTCATTGGCAAATACATAATGGGTTATTCACCAAGCTACCAGAGGCAGCGAGTGAATAATCGAGCCGTAGTGAAGTGAGCCGAACAGCGTTTGGCTATTCACTACGGCTCAGTACGGCTGATTTCAGCCATACAGCTGTTATTGTTTAATGACAGATCAGCGTCCCCAGGTTATTTTGGGATGCTGATCTGCCATTACAATTGGGCGGAGAGAGCCTTCGGCAGGCCGTTCGCCCCACTTCAGCTGTCACTTCGGCTCAGTTGAGCCGAAGCATATGCCTTCGGCTCATTTGAGCCGAAGCATATGCCTTCGGCTCGGCTGAGCCGCTCGGCCGCCTTCGGGAGCTGTACGGGCTGAATCGAAGGGCTCCTGCAACCGAAGCTAGCCGAAGGTTAGGCCGAAGCTACGGCTGGATCCTTCGGCAGGTTTATGAATAGACCCCATAATATACATGGGTAAGAATGTATTGAAGGCGAATTGTTCTGCAGATACACAAAAACAATTGAATTTTGTACTCACCGTAAAATCCTTTTCTTGGAAGTTAATTGAAGGGCATAGGATTCAGAGACAATTGGGCCTCCTGCCACCTACAGGAGGATTTGGACACTGACAAAAATAGTAACCAACCTGGTATAACCCTTAGGTTTTGTAACAAACAGTGCTGAGAGCAAGACTGGAAAAAGAGGGGTGGGACCAGTGTTCCTCAATAAACCTCCAAGACAAAAGATTTTATGACTTTATGGTGAGTACAAAAATCCAATTTCCTTTGCCATTCATTGAGGGAC